ACAGCTTCCAAGTTGGGTCTAACCATAGTGGATGTAAAGATCGCAACATAAGTTTTAATCAGTTTAAAAGTTTATTACACACTAATAGATTTTGAAGTTCTGGCTCTATTAACAAATACTGGAAAGTTAAAATCATAACTGATAATATCTCATACGTCATCTTCAGATGTTAAAGTCACATTTGTAGTCACAGGCCCTAAATATGTTCAAAACTACTCCAATATGTATAACAAGGGCGGAAACCTTGAAAAAAACTTTTAGATTGATATAATATAAATCTTACACTACTAACCTACAAAAGCAGGCTATTGTTTTAGAAGCGTGAAACAACTTGAACCCGACCGCTGCCATGGGAAAAAGAAGAAAAAAATAAAACAAATGTACTCTACCAAACAATCTGCACTGTTCTTATTAACCAAGCGGGAGGTCTGTATGGGAGAATCTTGACCGAGGTCACCAGTACAGACCTCACTGCTTTCGGTCTGTACCAGCGACTGAGGTCTAGATTCTCCCATTTAGACCGACCTAGCTCGGTTAATAAGATGTTTATTATATGGCTGTGTCTTATATGCCAGTTTTTTATATTCTTTGTACCTTCTTTTTGTAGACTGGTCTAGATGCCAGTCTAGATGGGAAAATCTAGACCGCTCTCAATATTGATTTCAGCCAATCAAATTCGTGAATTCGGCAGTTCCCAGTCCTTGTGAGACACAGCCATATAATAACTATGAACCGCTTATAACTGAGAAAGAACCACATTAACTCATCAGAAAACTATTCCTTGTGACAGACACAGGCGATGAAAGCGTACTGAACCTTGCTGTAAATTTAGGATCGAAACTAACCAGTCAAAAAATGAGAAAGTTTCCTGAGAGGTCCGAGGTTTGTTTGTTCTCTTTACAGTAAGCTTTGTTCTTTTCCCGAAATATTATTGGTTCGTTTTATAAAAAAAAAAAAAATGATTGACATCCTTTTCTCTCGATAAACATGTTCATTGGTTCCTTTGTCTTAATTTCGATCCGGTTCAAATATTCTCGTCGCTGCGAGCGCTTGACAGAGTTGGTTTTCTTTCATCTAAGTTGAGTTTCTAGGGGGCGAATTTTTCACTGAGCCGGTTATCTCACCGTTTTGAATAGTAAGTGGTTCCGATAATTTTTTTTTACAGTTTACAATTGGAATTTCTGAGGCTTAAATATTTAGCTCACACTCAGGCTGACACTTACTTACTAGACTAAGTGCGTATTGCTTACCTGTGTCTGTGATGTTATTGCTAATGAGGTTTAACTTACGTAGCTGACAGTCGTTGTTGTTGATGGCTTCAGCTAAGTGCTGTGCTCCAGTGTCTGTAATGTAATTCTCTGAGAGGTATAACAAGCGTAGCTGACAGTTGTCGTTCTTGATGGCTTCAGCCAAGTGCTGTGCTCCTGTGTCTGTGATGTTATTGTTGTAGAGGATTAACCAGCGTAGCTGACAGTTGTTGTTGATGGCTTCAGCTAAATACTTTGCTCCTATGTCTGTGATGTTATTGTCTGAGAGGTCTAACGTGTGTAGCTGACAGTTGTTGTTGTTGATGGCTTCAGCCAAGTGCTGTGCTCCTGTGTCTGTGAGGTTATTGTTGTAGAGGATTAACGAGCGTAGCTGACAGTTGTTGTTGATGGCTTCAGCTAAATACTTTGCTCCTATGTCTGTGATGTTATTGTCTGAGAGGTCTAACGTGTGTAGCTGACAGTTGTTGCTGATGGCTTCAGCCAAGTGTTGTGTTCCTGTGTCTGTGATGTTATTGTATATGAGGAATAACGTGCGTAGCTGACAGCTGTTGTTTTTTATGGCTTCAGCTAAATACTTGGCTCCTTCGTCTGTCAATTGATTTTTTATGAGGCCTAACCAGCTCAGTTGAGATTTACTACATTTTAACAGTTTGCAAATTTCTAAACAGCCCAATGGACCGATGTTATTGTTCATTAAATCTAAGTGTGAAATTTTTTGAACATTCTTAATTACGTTTACTATTGAAGAGCAATCAGCAGCTGTGAGGTGACAGGAAATCAAATTTACAAAATGAAAGTTAATTTGTTGCATTTTTCTCTGAACCAGTGACTCCATTTTCTCACTTTCGTTTATACATTTACACAATGTCACTGCTAAATCTCGTTCGTCTCTAGTAGGCCAGTAGGACACTTTCGTTTTCTCTTCATCTTCCTTGTATTCGATTTTTCTCTCTCCGGTGTTCGTAGGAAGAAGGTCGGTAATTATCTCGCTCGGTAGATGATCTTTATCGTCCATTAGTCCTGCCAGGAACTGCAGAACTAGCTGCCATTTTCCATCCTTGATGTTCTCGGAAACAAAGTTCCTCAATTCTGTTTCACTCATATTTGCTAGGTGCCTCGAAGCAAAGAACTCTTGCATTGTAAGATGAATGAAACAGAATTGTCGTTCATAAGCTAACTGGCCAGCCGGACGGTCGGGTAAGCGGTGGAAGAGAGCACTGTCTTCCATTGCGCGTACTTTTTTTCCTTCAACGATCAGCTTTCCTTCTTTGATTCCTTCAAACGCCACTCTTCCTAGTTTCTCGAATGTCTCCTCCACATTTTCTGGCAATTTATCTGATACAAAGTGTTCGCGAGTCATACGTCTGTCGCGGAATTCTTTCGCGTGTTTATAATAAAACACTTTCACTGCAATCTTGTAAATGGTTGTTAATTTGGAAGGGAGAGTAACACCAGCGGAACGGTCGAGCTGCAATATTTGTGATAGACTTGAGCACATGATGAAGCTGTTTACAGGGATGTAACACAACGAAAGTAAGTTCATGTTGCTGCTGATGTGTCGCCATAGTGTTTCGCCAGCTTGCTTGTCATCTCCGGTAAATTTGTAGACATATTCTTCAATTTGTTCGGTTGAGAATCCCAGAATCTCAAAGGTTTTGTCGAACGGAAGGTCTACGATGCTCGCCAAAGCTGTAGGTCTTGTGGTTGTCAAGACTGAAGCACCTTTAAGGAGTTTCCCGGTCACAAGCCATTGGTAAAGGATTTGGAGCGGCATTTTCTCTTCAGCGCTTTTGGGACGAGGAGGCGCCACGACCATGTTTGCGTTGTCTTTGAATTCGTCAAATCCGTCAAGAAGTATGAGGACACCTTCTGGGTGCTCCAGGATGTATTTCCAGACCTCATCATCCAGGTGATCTGAGGGACTATGTTCTGACTGAGTGAGTAGTTCCCTGAGGCTTAGGTCGTTTAACGAGTTCAATCTCCTGAATTTTAAGAAGAAAGCAGCATCAAAGTGGATTCGGGCATTAGTTGTTGCTTGAAAAACTTTATCGAATGCCCAGTCTCTGAGAAGTTTGGTACAACATAATGTTTTACCGATTCCGGGTCGACCGACAACCAAAACTTTCTTACTTTCATCATTTAGGAGGTCTTCCAAGCTTTTGAGTTGAGATTCTTCCTTGCGCGACCTTGGATAAACTTTGAGTTGCTCCTCTCTGTTTTCAGTAAAGTTATATGTAGCTCTGTCTGGAATTACCACTAGGTTTGTGTAAATCTGATCCAGAGTCAAATTTGTAACTAATGCGTGTTCGCCAGGAGGAGCTGAAAACGGTGATCGGAGTTCAAAAAGGTTTTGGGAGTCCTCTTTAATTATTTCCTTTGTTTCCTCGATAAATAGTTGAAGCTTTGATTGCGCTAGATGTGACTTCTGATGGGTGGGACTAAGATGGATTTCAAGAAACTTTGAGTTTTTCATGAAACTCCTCACTTTCCATGCCCGTGCCAAAATGTACACAGTTTCAATTAGAAGACATGCGACATAAATTCCATTTACTGCAAGGACAGCGTTCATCCAGAAGGTTTTCTTTACCGCTCGTTGATTATTACATTCGTGAAAAGTACTGTTTCGGTTGGCATCAGATAAATTCCTTGGCTGATCGGTTCCAGAGTTAAAATAACAGTCAAACGTATGGGGAAACTTTGAAGGATAAAGCAACTGAGTTTGAAGGATCATGAAAAGAACTCCTGATACAAGTCTTGTGGACAGCTGACCGCAGTAGGCGATGAAAAGCTGTTTTCCCGTTGAGGTTTGCTTCGTTTGGTCGCTCGCCGACTGGCTCTCAGGGTCACCGTTACGTGTGGTTGGCAGCGACAGGCGATCGACTGTAGATTTCGCTACAAGGGAATACATAGCACATACAATACCAATAACGAGGAAATTCATGACCACGAAGCCATAGGTAGGAATTCCGTATTTGTTGTACTGCTCCTGGTATTGCACGAAACATTTTCCACGGACAAGATCAACGTCTTCGCTCTTCGCCCCACCACAACGGAAATCAAATCTGGATTCGGCGTTTTCCACTTCACTAAAAATGCCAAGGAAGATTGCACCAATCAGGAACCAAATTAGAACTGCGGCATGGCTAAATTTGTTGAATGTTTTCGGCGCAAGTAATTCCTTGAGATTATCCATCGTTTCAAGTTACTGTTTGTTTTTCGTCTCCGCTTTCGATGAGATAAACGTCGCTCTATTGCTTAGGTTGTGGGCTTTCGGTTACTCATTCTTTCAGATTCGCACGCCATCATTTTCTCGACTACACGGGAAGCTGATATTGGAAACTGAAATAGGAGAATGAAATAGACTGATGTATGTTGCTTGTGTAACATTTTCCTAATTTTAATGCGTGAGATGTTATGAAATGTATTCGAAATAGGCTCCGCAGAATCAATTTCAAGTATGGTGAGAAGTTTCGCTTTCTGAGGTACGCTCAATACTGAGTTATACTTTAAAAATGACTGAAATGTCAACTGTCATTGAAAACTCTCCCTTCACTGTTGATTTCGCCGAGGACCAGAGCTTTTTTCTGAGTATGAAAGCTTTCCATCACGGACTTGATCGCTCGAATCTTATTTTCTCCCAAGAGGCTGTAATTTTTTTATGTTTTCACTTTTGCCTTGTGTAACTGAAAACTGTGACTAACTAGTAAATCATGATAAAACTCCCGTTGAAAATGAAACCACGCATTTTTAGCCGACCGTCATATGTTCCCCTACGGAACTACCTTTCATGCAGATTTTCATAATTGCAAAGTATCCTTGTATTTTCCCAGTGAATAATGTAATGAAAACAAGTGTAACCCGAAAACACTGACCCCCAGTCCACGGACCCCCTACGAACCTGGTTCAAGGACCCTCTACGGACCCCCCTTTACGGACCCCCCATGAAAAGATAATAATAACAATGACAACTTATAGAGATTTGACCTACCATTGTTTTTTCGTTCGCGGTGGCGAAATTTTGACTGTTAAATATTCCAAATATTACCATGGCAATGAAAGGAGGAAAAAAGCTGACTAAAATGTAAAAAAAAAAAGAAAGACAAAGACCGATAACTTAGCTAACTTGTGTATATATATCCTTCTGCATTCGCTGCCACCGATTGCCTCCGCCATTTGTTCGGCTCAATTCCCTGCGTGTTCATTGACTCGATCCAGGCTTAAAAAATAGTGCTCCTACGACAAACAAAGATGTCCATTTTCATTAGACTCATTAAAGATCGCGATATTTGACAGTTATGTGTTTAGTTGCCAAATCTTTCAGCAGGGCGACTTTTATTCAATGATCGATAGACGAGGGAAAATACCGCGCAGCTTTCGAAAAGCCAGGTCACCTTCAGACTCACTCTTGTTCAAAGGCTTGGCAACTAACAGTCAAAATTTCGCCACCGCGAACATAAAAAAAAAACGGTAAGTCACATCTCTATAAGTTGTCATTGTTATTATTGTCTTTTCATGGGGGGTCCGTAAAGGGGGTCCGTGGACCGGTCCGTACATGGGTCCGTGGACCAGGTCCGTAGGGGGGTCCTTGGACTGGGGGTCAGTGTTTTCGGGTTACCCTGAAAACAATAGCCACTTCATTATGCATGTATCTTATGTGCTAACTCGCCTGAAATTAAACAGCTTTCAGCACTGCTACGTGTTGATCTCAGTGGGGTTAACCGTCAGTTAACAGTCAAACTACAGTTTTTTCTTTTTTTTTCCCGTCAATTGCCAATAAAGCAAGCTTATGTAAGCCGTCAAATCCGTTGTCTAAGAAATGGTATTGAGTCGAGGTATGCTCTGAATAAACACTGTCGCCACAATATAAACAAAAGGCTCTATAACTCCTTTTATCAACCTAAGGAAAGACCTGACATCCACCTACAAACAAATCTGGTGGAAAAAAGATTGCTCTTAACTTTGAAGTAAAAAACTTAACTCAGCGAGTTGGGCTTTAAACTTAAACTTGGGAAAAAAAAGGTGGTATAACTAAAGATACTTCGGCAAGTTTCGTCCGACTAACACGCATTTAACTGAGAACATTTTTTTTTTCTTCTTGACAAAATTGATTTCATTGAAATGTTTGAAATAAATTACAGTCGAACTTGTATTAGCGGTCAGCCACAGGGTTTGACGGGGTGACCGCCAAATACAGGTTCCATAGATCAGGGTTATTTTAAAAAACCATTAACAGTGATAAACAATGGCACTCTATGAGATGAATGAGTACAGAATCTTGCTCAGAAATACAACTTACGTTGATTTTGGGAGAGACACGGATTAAAAATTATTTGAAAGACAATTCTTAGTTTTAATCGAGTAAAGGGAATGTACGATCTAGATAAAGTTTATCTTAATTAGAAGATTCTTTCCTCAGGAGTTCGAAAATAACCGCCATTTTGTTGTCCAGTTTGGCTTACATTAGCGACAAGAGCGCTTTGAAGTTGCCCTTATTTACAGCGAAGACTCCCAGCGAGATATATGGGCATGAAAGTTGTCCTCTTTGACCTTCGCTTCGAACTGAAATTTGTGTTTACCTTATCTTCATTCAACACAAATTTCATTCATTTATTCTATAATTTTTTTTTAACCTTTTTATTGGACGCGAATAAATTGAAGCTCGAAATGGTGATACACCACGTGTGATAGATTCTCAGTCATCACCCTTGACATGAGCCGATTTTCAACATCGTGCCTCTAGCGTCTGTACGCAGGCTAGCTTTTCCAAGCAAAGTATAAATATATCTAGTCTTTCTTTTGTCTGTTGTGAATACATCAAGTAAGTGTTCTTCACCCCCGCCAGTCGCATACTCCTGCGAAAAAGAAACTAAAAGGCATTAACACATTGCCAGAAAATAACCCAGACACGTTTGCAACAAATACATATTACCCTTCGCTAACCAGGCGCCCATATTTCACTAAATCATCAATTTCACACAATGAAAATTATATAGCAATATTTTATATCTTCTAAACATCTACTTGACGTAGTGCTGATACTTTGAAAAGGAATCGAAAGTTTTATTTTAGTTTTATTTATTTCGAGGTAATTTCTAATGTAAACACTATGACAGAGGCGACTTTCTGGCGCGCGTCGTAAGTGGCGACATTTTGAGTACTTTAGAGTGAAAAATATTGCGGTGAAGCTAATTCTAAGCAATAAAGATTGAAACACCAATTGCAACTTAAAGGTAAAAGCTGAAACAAACCAAATTTAATTCTTAATAATTTTCTTCTGGCATTGGTCTGAAACTAAATGTTTCTAATCAATTTTTTCCATGTTTACGCATACGAAGAATGATTTTCAAGTTCATCATTTCTAACTCGCTGCATGCCAACTGGGACTGTTCTAAGGTCCAAATGGCTCGTGTTCAGTTAAACTTAAAATCCAAGTCGAGAATTAAATTGGTAGCGCCATAGTTAGTAGCTATGGTAGCGCTCTGTTCGCCGCTGTTTTCCTTGTTTACATCCATCTCAGCAGGGATTCAAATGACCATGCTTGACTATTGCTACGTCACAAATGTTATTATTTAAGAAACAAAGAAAGAAAGAAATACAAAAGTGAAAGAAATACCCACCAGAATGTAGCAAAACTAATCGAGTCGGGTGGTTGCAGACAATATTAGAATATATCAAGGAGGTTGGAAATAAAAATTACCAGGAGATTACAATATTGTTAATTTAGAGAAGCGAAATTGATTCAAACAAGTATATGATTATGAGTGACAACGAAGCAAATAAAGTAAATAAAAGTATGAATAGTTTACAGTAGGTTATTGATGTAAATAAATATAGAAGGTGCTATTTTAGTTCCATAAGTCCAGCAGTCATTTTAGCAACAATCGTTTTTTTTTAGAGTCATGATTGTTTTCATTGTTGAGTAATTTTAACAAAACTGTATGGACTTTTTTTGCTGAAAGACCTTTTAGGCAATGAGCGCAAGCTACATGGGAGATTATTCCATACTTTAGGACCAAGTCTTAAAAGTAAAGAGAGTTGTTGGTTAAGCCTTGATTTTTTGACATAATAATTGCCAGCATTAAAAAAGCTCGTATTGTATATGTGAATTTTATGAGACTGAGTGAAGAGATTTGATATTTTAGAGGGTGTAATGCAGATGATACATCATGCATTTGGGCAACCACAGTTTTAAGGTACAACATGTTAACCGGTAAAATATTTGCAGAAGTAAATAGTGGTGTAAGATCAGCTCTGTATTCCATACCATAAATAAATCCAAGAACACGCTTTTGCAAAAGAAGAATTTTGTTCATATGGGTTTCAGCAGCTTGACCCCAAGTAACTATGCCATAGTGTATATAATAGTACGGTATTTATATAGCGCTATTTCTATCACTATCCAATATAGAGAAAAATATATAGGGAAAAATCAGAGAATAATAGCTTTTGAGGAGTTTGTCAGACGGGACAAAACGTCTGATGTTGGCGATTACAGCTACAGTTTTACTTATTTTGCAAACTATGTAATTAATATGTTTCCAACTTAGAGTACTATCAATAAGAACTCCCAAGTACTTCACGTATTCCTTATGTTCCATGGAAGTGATAGTGTTAGTATTGTTATCAATTATTTTTAAGTCAATAGTTGAATTTAGTTTCTTTTGTGAGGGACGGAAGATTACATAATTAGATTTCTTAGTATTCAAAGTTAATTTGTTACCATTTAGCTAGTCAGTAACGTTTTTCAGCTCAATATTAACAGCAGCCAGCACTAAACTATCAAGCATTGAACGTTACAATGAAAATATTTGTAAGAAGACCTTTAATTCTATTTTAAATGATAAGAGTAACCGGTTAAGAAATCTTTTACCCTCAGCCCATTAGTCGTCTTACCATCTCAGACGATGCTGGCGTTCTGAATCACCAAGGTGGAAAACAAATAGGTTCAGGGACACATTTTTAATGAAATCTTGTATTGAGCATGATATTATATAAATATAGCTTTATTAATTTTAATAAAAGGTTTCATCATTTTACAGTATTCAATTTCACTTTTAGGCTATTAATTTTTTTAKKWT